CCTGTGGGGTACTGATAACCATCCTCAGTTTCTAAAGCTCATCATGAAGGAGATATCTGCATGATTCAGTCAATTATCTTTGACCACTTCAAACAGGAAACAAAACCTAAAAAGATACTTTCCAAACTCTGAGGTCAAGATTACAGATTTGTAGAAAGTGACTGTGTGACTATACTCTGGTGCATTACACATGACGTTCATTTTGACCCTCCTCCTTTTAAAGGGTCAAGGACCCTTTAAGATCTGATTAAAGTGTTGGGCTCTCTCCCAGAGAGAGGCAACTCTCCCATTCACAGGCATCTTCAAAGGGTGCATGGATCCGTTGTAATTCAACAATCTCCCACAAGACTGATTTACGTGGGTCAGTTACGCCCTATTTGCAAGGATCTGAGTTAAGTAACACTGGGGAAACGGAAGGAGCACCAGCTTTCTTTCCTTGCTCTTCCCTGCCTGGAGGGTTGCCAGGGTCTCACAACTGTGTGCTCTGCCAATGAAATACTGCACCCTCTGCACGATTTCAAGAAAATGACAATTTCAACTCTGAATTTAAATGCCCTTAATATTTAATTCTCTCCTCTGTGTAGTTAGCAGCTTGCTTCTCCACAGTATCAAGATGAAGGCAAGTTATTGGAGATCCAGAAAAGCACATACCCTGATTCAATTTCCTCAGGAAAAATCAAAGTGCTCACTGGGTTGAAGAGTTGAAAGAGGGTGAGGGGTCAGCGCCTTCCCCCAGGGTGCCAGCCCAGGCAGGACTGGGGAAGGCTAATGTAAGTACTCAGTATGAGGCAACAGGGCATACCAATTTGTTTTTCAATCTATTTTATTTCAGTTCAGAGCATCACTGCAGACAGATAGCCCAGGAAAACAAGCCGCACTCTGGTTACTCTCAGTCTTCCTCAATCTCCAAAAGCAGCTGAGTGCCGCCAAAGTGCGCCTTGTTTTCCTGGGCTGCTGTCTGCACTGATGCTCTGAACTGAAATAAAATAGATTGAAAAACAAATTGGTATGCCTGGCTCCTCCTGCAGTTTCATATTCTCCTCAAAGCTGGCATTACCACCTACTCTTTACTGGAACCCAACAGACCCAAATCACAAAGTAGAAACTGCAATGTTCAGATGGGAAGGTCCCACACGAACCTAAAATAGCAATTTAATTCTGGGTTTGTTGTTGAGCACTGTATTAACGTCCATTCTATGTCCAGTTCCCGGCTGCATTCACTGGCTGGGTGACACATGCTGATGGCATGTGTAGCATGGTTACTGCCTACAGCAAGCAAAACTTGACATCCTTCTTAAACATCATAGTTCCAGAGTTCCCTTGATTTATTACTGTCTGTAATTTCTCATGCCCATGCTCTCTTTGTACCTATTCTTAAAAGCCTGGTGCCTTTCAAGTATCCAACACGGTGTTAAAGGATGCTACATTATTAAGACTGAGAGGAAATCACAATCAACTGCAAACCACCATAAATCAGTCTTACACTTCCTCGGGATACCTTAGGAAAGTGCAGATACTGGGCTAAGGGCGTACCTCAGGGGCAGAGCACATGTGCTGCAGGTCTGGCTTCCACTCCTGACACCCTCAAAATAAAGGCACCTCTCTGATGTAGATACACAAACAGCTCAAAGCTTAAAGCACTAAAATGTTGAAATATGTTTTGTGCAGGGGCTGGAGAGATGGCTCAGTGGTTAAGGGCACTGCCCTTAACTGACCCAGGTTCAATTCCCAGCACCCACATGGTGGCTAACAACCCCGTCCTTAACTTCAGTTGCAGGGGACCTCCTTGGGCACTGCACCACATGGGTACACTTACACACATGCACGCAATGCACTCATACACATAAAATAAAAATAAAATAGTTTAAAGAAAAATGTTCTGTACAGACAACTGTACAACTAATTTGGTTTAAAAAAACTAAATTCTGGGTTAGCACGATGTTTCAGTAGGTAAAGGCATTTGTCAACAAGCTTGATGACCTGAGTTCAACCCCCAGGACCCACATGATAGAACAAGAACTGACACCTTTAACTTGTCCTCTGACCTCCACATTTCTACACACACACACACACACACACACAAATTAATAAATGTAATTTTTAAAGATTAAGAACAACAACAAAAAAAAAATTAAATTCCACCTGGAAAAAGTTGTTCTTCATTTAAACACTAGGAGAAAAATCAGTTTCCCTCCTGCTAAAGATAGAAAACCCACATCCTACCATCCCTAATTGTGCTTATAACACACTTCAGGATTTTTGTTGGTATTTAATATTCCAAAATTTCCATTTGGGGTCAAATTTGTGTTAGTCTAATTAAAATCCAGCAATACATATAACAATAAGCACACCTGTACCCCAATCCCCTGAGGCAGAACAGGTGTGCTTCCCAGTTCAAGACCAAGGAGACCCCCATCTCAGAAAGAAAAGACAGAACCTATGGGTACATTTTCTCTTATTTAATGATCACAGCAACTCTTTGAGGAGGTCCACACTGCACAGAGCAGACAAGTACTTTGTGATGTGCCAAGGGATCCAGCTCTACCAATAGTGGGGCTGGTTTCTTTAGGTTCTCTGGCCTGTCTGAGGTTCTGTCTGAGCCTGCTCAAATGTCTCCCTCCTGATGCCTCTCCCTTCCCTCCTGCTGGACTGGCTCCTTGTTACCTGTCCCAGCTTACACCACCTTTCCTGAGAGGTTTCCCCTGCCCATTCCAGATTAGTCTCTATCTCAACACTGTTTTGTTTTGCAAATAGCAGCTGCCAAGGAGGTTTAACTGTCATCTCTATACTGTCTTGATATAAGGGGGGTTTTTTTGTTTTTTTTTTTTATATTTTATTATTTTTATTTTATGTGTATGAGTGTATTGCCTGCATGTATGTGAGTGCACCCATGTCATGCAATGCTGAGGAGGTCAGGACAGGGCTTCGATTCCCCTGGAACTGGAGTTAAGGACGGTTTGTAGCTGCCATGCAGGTGCTAGGAATCGAACCCGGGTCCTCTGCAAGAGCAGTCAGTGCTCTTAACTGCTGAGCCATCTCTCCAGCCCTGACGCAAGGTTTAAGCATGGGGAACAGAGTCTGGCGCCCTCCTGACCACTCTAGCCATTACAGGGCCCACTCCAATGACACCTGGTAAAGAGAAAAGTCAAATTTTTGCTCAACGAATGTTCTAGATTTGCGTATTTAGTATCTTCCTGGAAACACCAAGTTGTGGGCAATGGCTAGCAGCTGAGGACACAAAGGCAAGGTGTAAACACTGCCTCTGTGGTCCTCACAGGCTGGCAGGACAGACAACAGATGGAGCACAGCGTGGTGGGATCTTAGCTTTAGCTCTCAGCTCTGTTACACATAAATCATGCAGCACAGGCCATCCCTTCCCTGTGTAAAATGTTAATCATAACACTGCCAGTGTCGTGGATTAAGCGACAGTGTGTGCTAATTAGAGCCAGTACCTAGCACAAAAGAATTACTCGATGAATACTAACTACTCATTTTATTGCTAGGATGCTCTGAGATGTGTGTGTCTGTGTGTGTGTGAGTGCGCGTGTGCGTGTGTGTGTCTGTGTGTGTGTGAAATTATCTTTGTCAGCCAGGCAGGGGTAGTATACATCTGTAATTCCAGCACCTGGAGGCTGAGGCAGGAAGACCTTAGGTTAAAGGCCAGCCTAGGCTACACAGCCAGGTCAAACAAAGGAAGAAATGTTATTTTTGTGTGCCTGTATGCTATCTGAGGTCCTTGAAGAATTTAAATTCCATGAAAAGGCAGAAGTCATGTTTTATCTTGTACATGAATACATTTTCAGGAATTTGAATCATACCTGTACATCGTACATGCTCATGAAATACCAATTACATTCATTATGCAGGGACGGGTGTTTCAAGCCATGTGTTAGATCAATGAGGAAGTGGGGAACGGTGGCACATGCCTACAGTCCTACCACTTTGAAGGTAGAGGCAGGAGGGTCAGAAGTTCAAGACCAACCTCAAGCCCAAGGGCAGCATAGGCTACATGAGACCCTGTCTCAAAACAAACAAAATTTGTGCCTGGGAACTGCTGTCACAGAAGAACCATGTCTACATGAGCAGTGTGTGTGATGATGTATGCCAAGCACAGAAATTTCTGTGAGACTGCTTAAATAGCCATAACCCACTGCAAGATTTGGATACAATTCCAAGACAGACACTCCCACATGGAGAGAAGGAAGTCTGAAGCTATCTGACTACCCGGTGGGGGATGGGGGGGTTTCCCAGGGACAGTTTCAAACAGCCAGCCTCCTAACCTAGCTTAATCACACTTCATTCTCTCTCCTTTTATAAAAGGGAAACATTTTGTAAAGCCATGCGAAGTTTGAAGTAGCTGGCTTACCGTCGGAACTGGGTGGGTATCTGTTATGGCTATACAAAAAACAGGAGAAACTTCGACCTTAACGGGGTTCTAGCAGCTAGGGTTTAGTGTCACCCGAACTATGAGTGCTAACTTGTTCCCGATAAAGGAACCTTAGAAATCACTTTAGGATAACACTGGCCAGATCTACCTGTGCCTCGGACAAGAGCTGGCAAACTTTTCCTGTGCCATCCTGGCCAAGCAGCTGCCAGGCAACGCATCAACAATGTCGGTGAAACGTCACTTCTGGACACTCAAGTCTGACTTCCTAGGATTTACACTTCCCTCACGACTATTTTGATCTGGAAAGGCCATTCTTGGCTCCCAGTAACGCAAGAGCTGCGGGGAGGGACGAGGAAGGGGCCCTGGGGCCCCGGGAGTCCTGAGCAGGAGACCACCGCGCGGCCTGCGCCCGTGGGAGGAGACTGTCCCCGGGACCACGTCCTGAGCTAAGCGGACAGCAGCGGCTGGGACCCAGGCGAGCCCCGCGGAGCTCTCCACGCGCGGAGGCCGCCTCGCGCAGGGGTCCCGGGACGCCCCTCACTCCGGGAGCTTCTAGGGCCTCAGCAGCATCAGGGGTCTCCACGTAGAGTCCCAACCCCGTTTCTATGGTTACCTGTTCACCACCGATTCAAACTGCCGTTCTTTATTGACAGCGCCATAGAGGACACGAACACTCCTGCCCGAAGGGAACAATAAAGCTTTCGCCATTCAACAGCGCGGAACACGCCAGAAGGCGGCCATCTTGAGGCCGGAGAAGCGGAGGCGAGTGGCCCGGATGTGAGCAGGCCACAATCACGTGCTGGGGGGGGGCGGTCTCGCGAGAGGGTGGTGCCTGCGCCACGTGGTCGCCCTCCACCAATGGTACGGCGCTGGGGCCATTTGGGCCCAGCCCCTTCTTGAACCCTGAACTTCTCCACCGCCCTCTCGGAATTCTTCCGCTCCTTTCTGAGGTAGTTCTGAAGCCTGGAGTGAAGTATACCCCGAAATGTCTTTACATTTTCCCAAAACAATAAAGTTCACGTGCAGGGCGGGGACGTGACCGCGATCTCCAGGTGGAAATGCTTGCCCCGTCCATCCGGCTAGGCGCACAGGCCAGGTGTCAATCAACTCTGGTGTGCGGAAGGCATTTTGATCCCGCTTCTCACTGGTCCCTAACTTTAGGGGTTCGCTACCTGTCTTTTGCGCAGCCTCTTTTGTGTGTAGTTCCCCTCGCGGTGTTCTGGTTTTGAACTCAGACCCCACGGTCCTCCCAGTCAAACCCAGATCCAGACAGCATCCTCACAGATCAGACAGCATCAAAGTCCCATCCGCGCTGGTTCCTGAACTCGGTCACCGCATCACCCGGAGTCCGGATCCAGGCTTCTCATTACGGTGTCCAGCTCCCATTTCTGTGCTTACAGCTCTTTATCCATCTGCAGAGTTCACATTCAGTCCTCCGCAGAGCTGTAGGTGTCAGCTTGACTGCATTACTGTTTTAAACCAGAAGTTCAACCTATGTGGGGCAGAGCTGTCGCTTTCATGGTTGCTGTCATCTGGCCCATCATTTTTATCATCAGTGTGTGGTTTGCAGCCCCTGCCAGTGACCATTAATGTCAAACAGTTGTAGTTAGTACAGCACTTTCGTCAGCTAGTCTGGTTTATGTGCCGTGATAAAATATCCTGACAAAGGGACTGAGGCGCTCAGAGCCCTTGCTGCTCTTGCAGAGAAGACCCAAGTTCAGTTTCCATCACCAACATGGCTGTGCACAGTCCTCTGTAACTTCTGTTCCAGATATCTGACAACTTCTGGCCTCTTTGGGCACCGTGGTGCACTTACATGCAGACAAACACTCATACACATAAAACAAAATAAATAAATCTTTTTTTTTTTTTTAATATTCTGACAAAAAACTTTAGGGGCTAGGCATCAACGATACAGAGGCAGGTGTATCTCTGTGAGTTCCAGGCCAGCTTGGTCTGCATAGGAAGTTACAGGCCATCCAGGGTTACATAGTGAGACCCTAACAACAATAATAATTTAGGAGAGAAAGGGGTTTATTCCAGGTTCATCAGTGTGGAGAAGTCAAGGCAGGAACTTCAAACAGCTCATCACATCACATCCGCAATCAGGAGCAGAGAGAAATGAATGTATACATGAATGCCTGTGCTCAGCTGGACTTCACTCTGATACAGTGTAGGATTCCTGCCTAGGGAATGGTACTGCCCACAGTGGGCTGGTTCTTCCCATATCAGTGAACTTAGTGGCCCCACATAGACATGCCCACAGGCCAACACAATGAAAACAATCCCTCATTGATACTCACTCTGGGCATGGTGGCACTCACCTTTAATCCCAGCCCAGGGAAGGTAGAGGCAGGGGGATCTCTGTGAGATTGAGGCCAGCCAGATCCACATAGTGAGTTCCAGGTGGGCTGGGACAAAACAAAAACAAAAACAAAACCCTCATTGAGACTTCCAGGTGATTCTAGGTTTTGTCAAGTTGACAAAGCTGATCTCACAGAAGCTCTCACCCTTTAGGTTTCCAATGTTACCATCACACAGCTCCCACAGTCAAACCATTATTGAACAGGCCCCCCACATGATACATTATCACCTCATCAATCACTTTCACTGTTGTTCTTGCAGGTCACCACCACTTTCAGCATCATGTTTATCACTTTTGTAGTCTCTAGAGCATCCCCTACAGCTCTTGTGACTACTAATCCCCGATTTCCACCATCCCTGCATTCACCTGTAGCTGCAGCCCCACAATGCAGAGCTGCCAGGTTTAGGAAACCCTCAGACCAGTGCTTAGCACATAGTAGATGCTCCAGAAATATGTACTGAATGTTTTTAAAAAGCAGTATGATGGCTGTGCTGTGTGGAAATGTGGTTGGCTTGCATCTCAACGTTTTGAGCTCCTCTGCTTAACCAGGATCTACATCCTATAAGAATAAAAAGGAGAGACCACAAGAAAAGCCACCATACACACAGAATTTCTGTGGCCATGGTTAGAGAGAATAGATTTTTTTTTCAGTATTGAAGATCAAACCCAGGGCCTTGTAAATGCTAGACAAGGGCTCTACCACTGAGCTATACCTCAACCCCAAGAATGGGATTTTGTTTTAATATTTATTATTTTTATTTTTTTCATATGACTGTATTGCCTGCATGTATGTAAGTGCATCCATGTTGTGCAATGCCCACGGAGGTCAGAAAAGGGGGTTGAATCCCTGGAACTGGAGTTATGAACAGCTGTTAGCCACCATGTGGGTGCTAGAAACCAACTGCAAGAGCAGCTGGTGCTTTTAACTGCTGAGCCATATCTCTCCAGTCCCAAGAATAGGATTTTTAAAAAGCTTTTTTCCTATATTGAAAGGAATGCATGGGGCAGACAAGCTGGCTCAGCAGATAAAGTCACGTCCCATGAAGCCCGACAACCTGGGTTCAATCCCCAAGACCCACCACATGGTGAAAGAAGAGAACTAATTCCTCTGACTTCCAGAGGTGTGCTGTGGTGCACATATACCCCCACACAAATAAACACATAAATATAGTAACAGGAATACATGGGCCAGTGAGATGGCTTAGTGGGTAAAAACTTTTGCCATGAAAATCTGACATGAGAGACCACCAAAGAGTGCTGGGTTCTGGCTTCCCTCTGGCGTCCAACTACCAGAGGACCTGAGAACCCAGGGAACAGCCTGACAGCCCCAATCCTGACTCCACATGGTGGTGAGCTACCCCTAATTGTGCCATACCATCCCCCCACCTGGGATTTTTGTGAGGCCTCTCCCAAGGCCCCATGGCAGATCTGGCTTTGGTAGGGTAAGGCTGAGATCCTAGTAGACAGCCTGAGAGGGTGGTTCAGACCTCCATTGGGGTAGCTGCTCCAAGTTCAGCAGACTGCCAGAGAGTGTGGCCTCCCTCTGGCCTCCAACTACTAGAGGGCCTGAGAACCCAGGGGACAGCCTGACAGCTCCCCACCCCCCATCCTGCCTCCACGTGGTGGTGAGCTTCCCCTAATAGCACCATACCATCCCCCTACCTGGGATTTTGTGAAGTCCCTCCCAAGGCCCCAGGGCAGATCTGGCTTTGGTAGGCTAAGGCTGGGATCTCAGCAAGCTTCCAGAGAGTGTGGAGTTCTGGCCCCCCTCTGGCCTCCCTGTGACATAGGGTTGACAATGCACGGGACTGCCTGAGAGACCCTGGATCCTGCCTCCACGTGGTGAAGGAAGCCTGAGTGTACCTGACTGGAACCTGAATTGGGCTTCTGTGGGTACCCCTGGATAGCTGATCTGAAGCCATCAGTTCCTTCCAAAATAAACCTGAAAGAACCTGAACCCTGTACCAACCAACTTTAAATAACCAATAAAGAGAGGATCTAGGCACCCGGATAATACAAACAGAAGCATACTTCAACTTAATTTTCATATCAGAATCATAAACAACAAAAGAAATTCACATGCTGAAACCACAACGAAACAATAATAAAATAGAAAGCCAAAACACTATGTCCCCAGCAAAGCCTACCAATCCTGTAGAAGAGTTCTACAAGGAGAACCCCCTAGAGACAACCCAACACACTGAATTTAAAAAGAACAATCATAAGCTGGGTATGGTGGCACATGCCTTTAATCCCAGCACTCGGGAGGCAGAGGCAGGTGGATTTCTGTGTGTTCAAGGCCAGCCTGGTCTACATATACAAGAAGAACCCCCTAGAGGTAACATAGGACACAGAATTTAAAAGAACAATCATAAATATCATCAAGGAATTCAACAAATTTAAAGAACACATGAACAAACAAATCAAATAACTGAAGGAAGATAGAGATAAACTTCTGAATGAATTCACAAAAAAGATAGAAACATTGAAGAAAACTCAGGCAGAAATGAAGAAGGAAGTGCAAAACTCAATAAGTCAGATTGAAACAACAGGGGAAAGCCTCACCTCTGGAATGCAAGAAATGGAAAACAAAATATTGACACTGGAGAATAAAGTCGAAGAATTGGACCACTCAAGCAAAGAGTATGGAAAAATTTTAAAAACACAGGAATGGAATATGCAAGAGATGTGGGACACCATGAAAAGACCAAATCTATGGATCATAGGAATAGAGGAAGGAGAAGAATTTCAGGTTAATGGTGTTGACCAGATCTTAAACAGGATTGTGGAAAGGAATTTTCCAAAATTAAGGAAAGTCATCCCCATACAAATACAGAAAGCAGATAGAGAAGAAAATTTCCCAAAATTAAAAAAAGACATGCCCACACAAATACAAGAAGCACACAGAACACTAAATAGACAGGACCCAGGAAAGAAACTCTCCATGGCACATCATAGTAAAAACACTAAATATACAGAACAAAGAGAGAATACTGAAAGCAGCAAAAGTAAAACAAGTCACATACAAAGGAAAGCCCATCAGAATTACAGCTGACTTATCAATGCAAACTATGAAAGCCAGAAGAGCCTGGACCAAGGTATTTCCAGTTCTACATGACAATAGATGCCAGCCAAGAATACTATACCCAACAAAAATGTCTATTATAGTTGAGGAGGAAAAGAAAATCTTCCATGACATGAATAGCCTGAAAGAATACATGTCCACAAAACTAGCCCTTCAAAGAATACTTGAAGCAATACAGAGAGCAGAGAGAGAAACAACTATACTTTGGGGCAACAAAAGAAAATAAATAAAGATATAATCTAGGAAACACAAAATTAAACAGAGAACACAAACAGCAATCAAAATGATGGCAACCAATACACACCTTTGAATAAAAACGTTAAATATCAAT